GCCTGAAATGCCCTTCCCAAATGTTCACACTACTTGCTCCCTCACTTCCTTCAGATTCTTCTCAAATTATGCATCAGAAAGGCCTTTCCTGACCACACTGCATAAATAGCAACCCTAGCCCCTTACTCTTGATCTCCCTTATACGATTATATTTTTCTCCATAGCATGTACCACTTGACACATCTGTTAATTATAGGCTTTCTTGTTTGTGGCTTCTTGCCCCAGTAGAAATTAAACTGCATGAAAACAGGGACTTTGTCTTTTTGGTTCACTGCTTTATCTCCCAGCACAGTTCCTGGACACGTATAGCAGGTGCTCAGTGAGTATTTGTTGTGTGAATGAATGACTTTGAATTTGCATCTCAGGAATCTGTGTCCTGGCTGCTCCCCAGCTTGTGAACTCCCAGTCTGAGGCTAGGTCTCCTGCCCTTCTGTCCTCCAGATTCCAAGTTCCTCCTCTGGAACGACTGTGACCATATTTGCATAGTAGAGATATTCCCTCTAGTAACTGGTACGGAAGATGGGGTGGGATGGGGTCGGGATATGAGCCTGGAGGTGGGGATACCTGTGTGGATGGAAGCAATGGGAAAGGAAAGTGGAGGCCTGAATCTGGACTTTTAGAGGGGATCGACTCGGTGACCTCCACCAGACGTGGGGAGATCAGGGAGGGCTTCCAGAGGAGATGTCTGAGCTGTCCTCCGGCAGCAAAGGAGAGGGAGGTGTGTTCTTGGCAGAAGGCACAGCTTGTACAAAGGCCTGGCAGCAGAACCCAGTCTGCAGTTCTGGAAGCTGCGAGTGGTGCGGTTTGGCCAGAGTGGGCAGTAAGTTGAGTGAGGGGGTAGTAAAGCTGGGTGATAAGGAGGGCTCCTGGGTTTCTGCCCTGGGAGAACTGGGAGGATGGTGGTGCCATCTCTGCGATGGAGACAGGAAGAGCAGACTTGGGGAAAACATTGAGTTGAATTGGGGCCCTGTTGGGTCTGAGCTGCCCAGGAACATGAAAGGGAGGAGACAACTAGTTAGAAAGAATTGGGCTGCAGGCTCAGACGGGCCGTGGAGGATGAGGAGGTTCAGAGGTAGAAGGGGAGGCTTGGAGACCATCAACCCAGGTGCACTGAGGATGCGCTGAGGGTTGCCGGGCCAAATCGGTCAGAGCCCACCTCGGTGCTTGAGGCCTCCCCTGGGATGGTGGGAGGGGGCATCCTCACAGCAAGCATCCTCAAGTATGACTTGGCACCAGACGCCTGGGCCTCCCGGAGGGGACTGAGTCATCCTGGGTGGAGGCGGGAGCCTCCAAGGGCACCCGTTGCCAGGGCCATCCAGACACTTGTCAGGAGCGTAAACACAGCTCCTGTGAGGCAGCCTGGCGATGTCAGAGCCATCTTCCATGTCTGGCCTTAGTGGCTAGACCACCTCCTTACAGCTTTCTCTTTTGGTTAGTCCTCTACCAGTCAGTGCTGTGTGTCCTCTCTGCCTGGATTGTAGCTGGTTTTCTGCTAAACTTGGCCCTGAGGTTCACAGCAGCCTTCCAGAACTCAGAAAGGTCTGACTGGTGCCTGAAGTCATCCCAGGGGGTGCCGCTTGAACCAGCTGGGATGAGAGCAGGATCCGTTACTCTGTCCTGTTCCGGGCCTCCTCTGGGGGACCCAGGTGGATGTGGCACATTCTAAAGAGGAGGCCTGGCCAAGTAGGATCTCGGAACTAGGGTCTGCATCCCTTGGGAATAGCCAGGCACCTGTGGGTGGGGGACATAGCCTAGCAGGAGGAGCCCGAGGGTAATGTGCCAGGGCCTTTTTGGAGCCAGGGGACAGATATGGGGCTGTACTTAGTACATCAAGGCTCTCCTTCGGTGGCTTCCTGACACAGATAAGTCCTAGCCCCACATTGCTTGGGCACAGACTTCTTCAGTGTCTACAATCTCATCTACTTCCTTTTACAACCCTGGGAGTTGGCAGGATGGTAGCCATCTGATTCAGAAATGAGGAAACAGCCTCCAAGAGGCTCCATGACTTGTTTAAGACAACACAGCCCCAGCCTGGGAGATCAGGTTTGGGGTAGCTTTTCCCAGTGAGGGAGAGCCTGAGTCTGGCTATTCTTGGCTGCAGACTAGGCTGAACAGTGGGAAGCTCCCCATGCCTGGAAGAGTCCTTGCTCTGCCCTGGGTCTGGGTCCCAGCCTGTTTGTCCATTTGTTGCCCATGTGGCCACTAGTTATCTGCTGAGTTAGTTTCTACAGAGCATTTTCTGGGGTCTCAGATTGAGGAGAGCCTCGAGAGGTCCCCTGGGGAGCTGCCAAGAGGCCTAGGTTCTGCCGAAGACACAAAGCCCAGCCCAGCAGGCAGCCCCAGGCTGATGGACAAGTGACCATGTTGGAAGTTTAAACTTGACCTTCTGCGTTTCAATTCCAGTAGATCCCACAGTACAGATGATCACACTTACACATGCCTATAGACAACACCAATTGTTTTCTGTGTTCATACAGATATGTGCCTATGTGTGGACCGCCCCCCCCCCCACATACACGCAGATACAAGCCATCACCCCAGACCCACAGCCCTGCTTGCACACATTCTCTCGAGTGTGGACACATGCCCTCACATGCGTAACCTAGGGCACCAGGCCCTGTTGCCTGGACATGAGGCAGGAACCTGGGGCCTCCCAGACTGCCTCTCAAACGGACATGCTTAGTCACCTGAATTTGATCCAGGCGGGAGGGAGGGTGGAGAGCCTGACGTCAGCACTCACAGCCTCCTGGTGCCGCCCTCGCATCCATCTGGGCTACAGCATGTGCCAGGCAATCACAACAACAGCAGCACAACAACAACTCATTTTTACGGGGCTTCCTTTGTGGCGGGCCCAGTTCTGAGCCCTACATGGGCGTTCACTCCTTTCCTCCTCACAACCGCCTGCTCAGGGAACTGAGACTGCTAGTGACCCCATTCTGCAGATGAGGAAAACCCAGGCACAGAGGTGCAGTCATGTGCCCATGGGCTTGGCCAGGAAGGTACAAAGCCTAAACAAGGTAACAGGGCCCCAGGCTGGAGCAGGAAGGCTCTGCTCTGACTTGCTGTGTGACTCCTGGACCATCCCTGACCGTTGCTGGGCCTCTTTCTTCCTCAGAGAAAAGAGGAAGGGAGTTATAGGAGGAAATCAGATGCAAATTTTATGGGCTAGGGCAGCCTTTGGCCTCTGCCGGTGGTAGCTCTCTCCCTCTGTCCCTGCCCAGAACCGGAGGGCAGGAATTCCTGACACTGATTCATTCCCTGCCATGGGCTGGGGCCTTAGGCTTGTTGGGATTCCCTCTCTGAGGCTACTTTCCCATCTATCTAATGGGGACCGGGCAGTAATGATCACTATGGCAACCACTCATCCATTCAACAAATGTTTATCGAGTTCCTAGTCTGTGCCAGGCACAGCTGAAGACACCAATGATCCTATAGAGACAAGGCCAACAAAGCCTTAATATATGGAGTTTATATTCTGATGAGAGAAAAAGGGCCTGCAAAGTGAGGAGGATGGGCAGCGGGGTGGGGGGGCACTTACAGGGAGGAGTGAGAAAAAGGGCCTGCAAAGTGAGGAGGATGGGCAGCAGGGGGGGCCACTTACAGGGAGGAGTTGGATGGATGAGCCAGGCTTGGAGGACTCCCTTCAGCCTTGGCTTCCTCCTTCCTGCATGGGGCCTGGTCCCCAAAGCCTCTCTGATAATCTAACTCCAGTCACTGCCCGCTCTCACCTCCTCCAGCCCTATTCACCCCTCTCTCATCTCCTCCAGAGAGGCCTCCTTGATATTCTAGCCTCACCCACATACACACATACTCCTCTGGGTCCAGCCTCCATGTCTTTTCCTGCTACCAATCTGGATGCCCTGCTCCTTTCCTTTCTGCATGTCAACATCAGCTTCACCACCTCCAGGCTTCCACTCATTCAACACTCTGTGGACCAGGCACAGGGTTCTGGACCATATCCTTATCCACGATCCATCTCTAAGCCCTGCTGTGGCCCTAGGGAATTTGGGAAGGTCCCACATCCATAGTATAGATGGAGAGACTGTGGCTTTGAGTCGGGAAGGAGACTACCCAGGGCACCACAGTAGGTTAGCAGGCAGGATTGGGACTCAGCCTAGGCTCCTTTGTGGCCAGTGGACTCCAGTGCCCCCTTGACATCTGTCAAAGCAGCGATGGGAGAATGAGGGGTGAAACAGAAACCGTGTTTTTAAAGTCACTGTGTGGGGACAGAGGAAGTTACTGTGTAGGGACAGAGGAAGTTACCACCAGACAGGAAGGGCAGAAGGTCAGGAGTCCACTCACTTTTCCTAAGAAGATGCCTAGTTTGGCCCAAGAATGGGGAGGGGCATCTGGTTGGGGTGGGGCCCGTGCTTGGCCTGGGGCAGAAATGGAGTCCCAGCCTGAGTGTCACAATTCAGCTTGGGGTCAGTGTTTAGTCCAGGATTGTGGTCAAGAGTAAGGGCCAGGACTGGAGGTTGGAGGTTGGTTTGGGGTTCAAGTCCTTGGCCTGGGGCCTCGTTTGGGGCTCAGACTGCAATACGGCCAGGGTAGGTATAAGGCCAGGCCAGGGGGAATATCTTAGTCTGAGCTGAGGTAGCAAAACATTTTGGCTACACAAATAAACCGGAAGGGAAAACCAGAAAAAATAAAGAATGACCTTTTAGTGCAGTGAAGTCTATCTTGACAGCTACCAAAGCAGAGTCCCTTTCCCTAATGGACATTGTCCTGGGCTGCAGGTTCTGCTGGAGCAGAGAAGGCAGTAATGGGAGACTTGCCTTGGAGAGGCCTCCCTGAAGGAGATGATAGAGGCTGGAGTCCCAGGGAAATCTTCCTGGAAATTGTGAGAAGGGTAGGGGTGGGAGGCTGGAATATCAGGGAGGCCTCCCTGAAGGAGGCGAGTGGGCCTGGATCATCTGGGAGGCCTCTGCATTACTAGCACCTAGCCAGCTTCCAGGCGGCAGCATTGGAATGCTCTGCTGTCAAGGGGTGGGGCTGGTGAGTCACTGGGATGTCTGCTGGTTCAGGGCCTGAGCTGACCCTGGACTCTGTTTCTCCTAGGGCCGCTAGGCCTCCAGTATTCTGCCTGTATCTGTCTGTCCTGATTCCAGAGGATCAGATTCTCCCTGCTTCCCTAAGAAGCCAGCAAGGTAGGCATGACTATGCCTGTTTTACAGATGGAAACACTAGAAGTCTAGAGGGCTGGTGTGCAGCAGAGCCAGATGAGTTCCTAGAACTCCTTCACTTAGTAGGAGTTTGAATGCTGGCAACCCAGTCAGAGGGAACAGGTGGGGAAAAAGCATGCAGGTAGGACTGTAATGGGAGAAGAGCCTAGAAATCTGACCTCCTTGCTCTGTGGCCAATTTCAAGCCTTTTCTGCCCTCTCTTCTCAGGTTCCCAATAAGGCTGCACAGAGGACCCCCTTGAATGCGGCGATGGAGGGGGGCCCAGCAATTTGCTGCCAGGACCCTCGGGCAGAGTTGGTGGAGCGAGTGGCAGCCATCGATGTGGCCCACTTGGAGGAGGTGGATGGTGGCCCAGGGCCTGCCAGGAATGGTGTGGACCCTCCGCCACGGGCCAGAGCTGCCTCCATGATCCCCAGCAGTGCTTCAAGACTTCCCCTGGCCCGACCCAGCCTCTCAGCTAGGAAGTTCTCCCTGCAGGAGCGGCCAGCAGGAAGCTGCCTGGAGGCCCAGGTTGGGCCTTATGCCACAGGGCCTGCCAGCCACATCTCCCCACGGGCCTGGCGGAGGCCCACCATCGAGTCCCACCATGTGGCCATCTCGGATGCAGAGGTTGGTCGGGCAGAGCTAGGGAGTGCTCACAAGCTTTTTAGTAGTGCTCAGTGAAGACCCTTTCTGTTCCTATTCCTGCCACACAGCTGTGTGGCCTTTAGTTTGCATATCCCCAGAGTTGGGGAGCTTACTATTTCTCAATAAGGCCTCTTTGCACCCAGGGGAGCTCCATCTGAGCCAACCTCTGCCTCCTATAATTCCCACCATTCCCAGCCCCACCCAGTCCAGGCCTTGGAAATAGGCTCCTCCCTTGTCCCCCCAAAAGTCCTCTTAGAGATTTGAAGACAGACATAGTCACTTTTCCAGCGTGAGCCCCCACCCCTAATCCTGCTTTCTTGAGTCTGCTCTGACTCAGAAGCTGCCAGCATGGTTCCAGCCTCTAGGCTTCCACTGGCTCTGTCCTTGCCACTTAGATCTGAAAGTGAACCTGAGTACTGAGCAATCTATGGCCTTCAGAGGCTGAGCTTTTTATGCCTGAGCCAGGACTCTGGTCTTCTGTCCCCAAGGCTCTTTTCCTCCTTTTTGTCCATGCTATCTAGACCTCACATTCAGCTGCTTCCGGAAATACTTGCTCATGGGTTTCTTATAGATTTGGATCTCCCAGACCCCAGCATCCAGGCAGAAATCAGTGCATTTTTCCTTCCCCACTTCCTAGGAAGCAAAGTATAACCATGGCTCACCATTCATGTTTTCAAACATCGTCCAAGGCTTCTTGTCACTTTTGGTGGTGTCGGCACCATCAAGTTTCCTCATCCCAACTTGAAAGGTTGATAAGACCTGGGGTCTGGGAGTGAGGGCCAGCACTGGGCCTTGAATAGGTTCCTGAGGTAGGAGCATTGCTGCCTCTGGATCAAGCTTTACCTGATGCTCCCTCTTTATCCCCTAGGACTGTGTGCAGCTGAACCAGTACAAGCTGCAGAGTGAAATTGGCAAGGTAGGACTGGGGCAGGCCAGGAGCAGTGAGAACTTCGTTTGGGGCTTTGCGAAGGCAGTCTGTCTGGATCCTCTGCTTGGTATAATCCCTTCTCCTCTGGGAATGTGATACAGAGGCAGGAAGGCCCAGGCCTGGAAGTGAGGAAAATTTTGTTCTCTTTAGGAAATACCTGGGGTGGGTGGGGGATGGAGGTGGGAGATGACTCCTGATTCCTGACTCCCTAGAGTTTTTGATGGAAGATAAGGAGGGGCTGGGGGAAGCATGGAGCTGCATTGAGCCAGGCAGGGGCAGGTACTAGGGCTCAGGAACCCCATCCCCATCTGCCTGAAATTGATGCCCATTGGTGGTGGGGGGTGGAGATGGGATGTAAGAGGAGGAGGCTGGAGCTGTTCAGGCTCCCCTTTTCCTGAGTTAGTCCTGGGGGAGATCGCTCTGCCCAGGTGGAGCTGACCTGTGCCTATCCACAGGGTGCCTACGGTGTGGTGAGGCTGGCCTACAATGAAAGTGAAGACAGGCACTATGTGAGTCTGGGGATAGGAGGGAGGTATTGCCCAGGCTGGATCCTAGAAAGCTGGGGGTGGGAGATGGGCAGAAGCTGGGAAGACAGAGGACAAGCTGCCTCTGAAGGGAGTGAACTTCTTGTCCATAGGGGTTGCAAAGACAGTGAGTTTCTTGACCCTGGGAATATGCAAGCAGCAGCTGGATGCCTCTGAGGGGAGAGCTCTAGAAAGGCTTATTGGGGAATAGGGGTAAGGCCTAAACTCAGGCGCTCACCCAGCTTAACCACACCCAGCCATACCCTCAATGCCAGTCGCAGATGCCCAATGTGCCTTTCTGGACTCATTCCACCATAAGCAGCCTGTCCTAGCCCCTGGTGGCTGCACACATTGACATTTCTGCCTCTCCTTCTTCAGGCAATGAAAGTTCTTTCCAAAAAGAAGTTACTGAAACAGTATGGTTTTCCACGTATGTATCTGTTGGGTCCTGTACTTGGGAGCCCCTAGCCTTGGGGCAGATCTTGGTCGCTAGCTAGTTTTTGTTAGGACTGGGGATGAACAAAGGCGGGTGTGTGCTTGATGGGTTGGGGACAAGACTATGGTCTTGCGAGATTCTTGCTTGAGGCCCAGCCTCCTGCTGCAGGGGCTTGACTCCCCTTCCTGGTCACAGGTCGCCCTCCTCCGAGAGGGTCCCAAGCTACACAGGGAGGACCAGCCAAGCAGCTGCTACCGCTAGAGCGGGTGTACCAGGAGATTGCCATCCTGAAGAAGCTGGACCATGTGAATGTGGTCAAGCTGATTGAGGTAGGTGGCCATGGTGAGTGGTTGAGAATCTGTGTCTCAACCTGTTGAGTAGCCTCTGGTGCTGGGGGCACTCAGCACAGAACCAGGGATCCCGCTGAGGGAGCAGATATGGCTGAGGCCTCCAGGCTCATAGCCAGACTTGGAGCGGGGGCTGCAGGGAAGCTTCAGGAGTAAGTTCAGGATGGTCTCAGAGTCTCACTGAGAATGAGTATCTATGGTTTTTGAGACCTCATCTGTCTGTGCCTGCTCAGTTCCTGCTCCATTGACTGGGGTGGCTATAGAGCATAGTGTGGGTTGGGGGCTGGTGAGGACAAGAAAGTCTGAGACCCCCATTCCATGCCTCCTCAAGTTCCTGCTCCATTGACTGGGGTGGCTATAGAGCATACTGTGGGTTGGGGGCTGGTGAAGACAAGTCTGAGACTCCCATTCCATGCCTCCTCAAACCTCATGTTTGCTCCTCCTGACCAGGTCCTGGATGACCCAGCTGAGGACAACCTCTATTTAGGTGAGTGACCCAGTTCATTCCCAAAGCAGCTTACCTGGGGTCAGTCCAAGGGCTCCTCACAGACACTTATGACCTTCAGGGGGGGCAAGGAGAAAACACACATTCTCTGCCCCTAGGTTCCTTTGCCCAGCCCCGCTGAACCAGGCTCAAAATATCCAGTTAGATTCAACAGATATTTCCAAGCCCCGCCTCTACTGATCAGAGAGACAGTGGGTCGGGTAGACACAGGAAGCAGGCTACGTGCTATGGGTTCCCAGACCCTGTCTAATAGCTCTGTGCCTCAGTTTCCTCACCTGTAAAACGGAGATAATGATGGTATCACTTCATAGGGTTGATGTGAGAAGTAAATGAGTTATTATATGCAAGATACATTAGCTATTATTGTTAGTATTAATGTTATTAAGTTTGTGGTGCCTGATTCATGGCTGGGCTTAGAGGCCCTCAGGAATAGGGGCAGAAGGAAGACTGGTGTATGAATTAGAGGCCAGGGCTTTAGTCTCCACTCCCTTTCCTACCTACCAAACTGCTATGACCTTTAGAAAATTTTCTGCCTCGTTGAAGGAGTTCATGAATCAGATGAGGCACATTCGTAGTAGACCCCACTCTCACCCATTTACCTCCTTTGATACTGTGGAACCCCTGTCCTGTCCCTCCCTCAGTTATGCCTGGATGTCTGCCCCCCTCCTGGCCTCCAGAACAGGGAGGGACCTTGGCATCACCTGCTCTGCCGGCCTGGCTACACCTTACCTTCTTTTCTTTTCTTTTCTTTCAGTGTTTGACCTCCTGAGAAAGGGGTGAGTTCCCCATCCCTATCAGGCAGGTCAAGTCTCATCTAGGCCTTCCTTTCCCTCCCTGTGTCCCTAGTCCTAGAGTCAGCTACTCTAGGGGAAAGCAGAGGCCCAGGCCCTCCCCTTGGGGAGCTGTGGTCTGGGGTGAAATGAGAGACCAAGAGGACAATTCTTTGAAGGCTGGTGGTGGGTCAGTGAGGCTGGAATAGTCAGGGAGGCCTCTGGAAAACGGGGTGGGTTTTGAACCAGGCCTTGAAGAACTGGAAAGAAGATTTTGATGGAGGAGAGGGAGAAGAAGTGTTTGTCAAGTGAAAGTATAGAGATGGGACTCAACTCTTACATGTATTCAAATCACAAAGGGTTCTCTCAGCTTTACAAATTTGTAAGTTGGATGGGTGGGACTTCATTCCTTCCCATTTACAAGAGGGGAAGCTGAGGTTCAGAGAGGGTAAGTGGCTTGCCCACCATCACACAGTAAGTCTCGTGAAACCTAGGGTTCTAACTCATGTTGCCTTATTTGGCCTTCTCAGGGTATGTGTAGAGCAGCAGATGGGCATGGGCCTGGGTGGACTGGAAGCCCTAATTGCTGAGGTCTCAAATACAGGCTATGGTTTGGGGGAGAGCGCAGACAGCGGTGTCCCTTTAAGACTCAGGGTCCTTGAAATGTTCTTAACCTCTATTTAAAGTGAGAAGTATGAGTTTCACATTGCCATTCTATATCTGTAACTAGAACTAAAGTTTTACAAAACAGCACATATCCTTATTACATGATATACTCTGATATATTCTACTTTATTAGAAAAAAAGCGGTAGCCACCCACTAAATTATTTCATGACCCTCTGTTGGATCTGGACCTACAGTTTGAAAAACACTGCTCTAACTGGCATCTTTGCAACTGCTTGATTATAGATAATTAAGTACTTAGAAGAAGTGATATTGAGCCAATCAGAAATTAAGATAAACCTAATTTGAAATTATAATGATTGTAAAGGGATATTTGTGTCTGTGTGTTTTTAAATTTTCATTATATGGGAAAAAAAGCTAATCTCTTGGGTCCTCAGGACCCATTTAAATATAGAAGGCTCCTGGGAGAGGCTGGAAGGACCCAGCCCCTGTTCCCCTTCATCTGCTGCCTGCCTTTCTTCAACCTGATTCAACTGAAACCCTTTCTCTTCTCCCTCCCCATAGGCCAGTCATGGAGGTGCCCTGCGACAAGCCCTTCCCCGAGGAGCAAGCTCGCCTCTACCTGCGGGACATCATCCTGGGCCTTGAGTACTGTGAGTGAGGGGCTGCCTGGCCCCTGGAACTGGGGACAGGGAACAGGGGAGGGGTATACCGGATAGGGTGTACCCCAGACTGAGCCGGCTCTGAGCAGTTTCTGTCAGTCAGTGGTTATCGGCCAGTCAGCTTCAGTTGGGGGCAGAGACATGGACCTGCTTAGTACTACTTGACTGGGCCAAAAACTCTTGAAAGCGGGTGGCAGCGGACTTCATCGGGCATGCGCCAGGTCCTTCACAGTTCCTGTTCACCTGGTCACCATTAAGTCATTCTGCATCTTAGGCATTCGGTCTACATTTCTCCTCTGCTGAGTTCTTAGCCAAGCTTAGCCTCTCTACAGGGCCTCAAGAGATGTGGGAAGGAAGAAATTGATGTCCAGCTGCTCAAGCATTTGTCCTGTCATGGAGCCTGTGGGTGGTGGCAGGGTAGATTTACTCTGAGGGGCCCTAAAGTGATGAGAGCTCAGGAGGGAGGATGTTAGCTTAGCCTCTATCTATGTAATTCCTTTATTCACTCATTTATTCATTTCATTCATTCATTTATGAGTACCTACTAAGTGACAGCCGGTGGCAGGGGAGATGACAAGGACCTGGATGTGACATCAAGGATGTTACAGCCTAGTAGGAGGGACAGGAATCCAAGCAGGCAGATGATGTAGTATAGTGCCTGCCCAGCTTGGAGAGGCACGAGGGCTGTCAGAGCACTGAGAGGTCAAGGGAGGCTTCCCAGAGGAAGCTACTCGTGACGAGTCTTAAAGGATGAGTAGGAGTTTGTTGGTTAGGCTTGAGGGATGTGTGAGAGAGTACAGCAGGCAGAGAGAACTGCATGGCAGAGGCACAGACGGGAGTGGGCATGTACTACTTAAGAATGGGGAGAAGTTCAATTTTGTTGAAGCATGAGGGGAGCAGGAGATCATAGTGAAAAATGATACAGGAAATGCTATTCAGGCCACACTTGAAGGATGGGAATGCTGCCACAGAAGACATTCATGACTTCATCCTGTCAGCATTGTGAACCCCTGAGGGCTTTGAGCAGGAGAGGGGCATGATAGGATTTGCATCTTAGAAAGCTCTGTCGAGCAGCTGTGTGGTGGCTGGATAAAGGGCGAGAGGCGGCCAGCTGGTTAGGGAGGAGGCTGTTTCTATAGCCCAAGTGACAGATGGTGAGGCCTGGATTAGGACAGTGGCAGTGGGGAGGAGATGTGAAGGAGGTAGAGTGGCCAGACGCCTAGGCTTCTGGTCTGGTTTGGGGAGCAGGAGTGGTGCCCATCTCTCTAAAATCTTAGCTTGGTTTATCAGGAGCATATTCTCCCCCTGGGGAAACAGGATGAGGGCCCAGCTCAGGTGACAGGAACCAGGACTGTTTTTATCTCATTTGAGCCATTCCAATGCCCTCAGATTAATATTCTCTTTGTACATAAGGGAAAACTGAGGCACAGAGGTAGGAAGGCTTTGCAGAGTCTCTAGCAAGGGCCTAAGGTGTAGGAAGGGGCCATTTCATGCTGGGTGTGGTCTACAGTGGGCACCACCCTGAACTGGCTTGGCCTCCACCCCATCCTGTCCTGGGACCTTCTCCTCCCCTGAGGGTCTATTATCTCCTATTCTGTTTCCTCCACCCTGCCTCCAAAAACAAAAAAAGACTAATCCTATTTCGATAAAGCCTTAGCAAGACCCAGCTAGTCACAGTGAAGTGCTTCTCCAGGTGGATTGTGAGCACCAGGGCTGAACAGGCAATTGAATAGAGGCACGGGGCACTGATGACCTGCCTTGTGATTCTAGTCTCTCTAAGGGAGCATTGAGGCTATCACAGAAGGCTCTGTGGTTGGAGCG